TCTAGGGCACTCATTTCGCAGAGGCTCCCCTGTGAACGGCGCCCCTGTGTTCTCCCTAGGCATGCTGTACTGGCCACTTACCTTCCTTAGCCTCAGCTTTCTCACACATGCAGTGGTGCGCATCATACTTACTCTCCAAGGAATTGTGAGGACCACGTGAAATGATGTGTGTGAAGGGTTTGTGAAGTTGGGCACCACCCCAAGGAGTGCCTGTGATACTTTGTGCTTTTCAGAGCGGGCCTTTTTCATGGGTTTCTCTATGGTTTGGCCTCGTTCCCCATTGCCTTGTTCCTCATTCAAATGAATAGAGCTCTTGCTTCTGCCCAGGACTTGTTTCCCCACCGCCGCCACAGTCGCCCCCCTCCCCGGCCCCCCCAACCTCTTGGCGGGGCAGGGAAGGTGCTGAAGGCATTGCCCTGCCTCCAGCCGGCCTGGCTGGGGAGCCAGTTGTTGTTCCTGAGAGGGAGCAGGAACACGCAGAGAGCTGGAGGCCTACGGGAAGGGGAGGCCTGGCACTGGATTGTCCCAGAAGGCTTCCCAAGCTGGGCAGGGCTTGACACCAGAGCTCCGGCAGACTCCTCTGTCCCATGTGACCCAGGGAGCCCCGGGTGGGAATCCGGCTTAAAGCTCTCGGAGCTCCAGTTTTTCCGTCCGAAAAGTAGGGAACAATGCTGGCCTCACAGGAGATGAAATGAGCTAATGCCAACTAAGCACCGGGCACGGTGCGTGAGGCATGGCAGGCGTTTGGGCACTCTGCGGCCACCCTCCCCTTCTCCTTCCTCATGAGCACCTCACGAGCCTCTGAGGACCAGGGCTATCGCCTGCTTTGCCCCTGGGCTCCCCACGGGCTGTGCATGAAACCCTCACTGCAGTGCTTTATTTGATATTCCCAACTCTGTAAGGTCGTCCTGGAATAACATGGAATAATATCAACTTTGGGCAAGAAAATGCCTTTTTTTTATTGGGGGAAAAGCTTGACAGAGTGGAAGGAACATCAGACTAAGCAGCACATTTGAAGACTTGGCTTTTTAAAAACAATAGCACCAGCGGTTACTGAGGATTTTGTGCCGGGCACCATGCTGAACACTTGACATGGATTATCTCATTTAACATCACCACAGCCCAAACGTCACAGGGCCTGTTATTCGCTCTATTTCATGGAGAAGCATTCTGAGGCTCAGAGAAGGTAGTCGCTTGCTTCAGGCCACAGAGCCAGGAAGTTCACACATCACCACCACGTACCGAGTATCTCCTGAGGGCCAAGAGCTTTGTGTGGGAGTCTCATGGAATTTTTACAACAGCCCATTTCACAGATGATGAGACTGAGGCCCCAGCTCAGGGAAGGTACATGATTGCCCGAGCCGGGATTCAGCCCTGGTCTGACTCCCAAAGGCTGTGTTTGTCTTCCCCATTGTTCTACTGGCTTGCTCCTGGCCTAAGCTGGAGGGGCTAGCCAAAGGTGCTAGAGGTCTAGAGAAAGCATAGTCAGAGATAATAGAGATTGTAGCTGGGAAGACTCATGAAGTAAATGTATGAGTTTCAAGGAGATTTGGAAAACAGGGTTGCATCTGGGAGAATTTGGAGGAACCCTGAGTGCAGTAGAAAGAGCTTAGACCCAACCCTGGGAATGGCTGGGGTGTGGGGGGCGGGGGGAGGAGGCCTGCTTTTATGTAGTGCCAGGCGCCTGACGGTGATGGCAATGGACAGCTTGCAGGGGCTGTGCAGGCCTGGGCACCCACATTGCTTCCTTATCCGGGCCAGGTCATTGTGAGCCGAATTTGAGATTCAATTAATTTGACCATGAAGTTACACCACACTCCACCACGTTTGGTACCTGATAACCCTCCAGTCATCTGCGTAGAAGTCCGACCTCCCTACATGGATTCTCAGCGCCTCCTCACTGGGCCGGCTGGGGCCTCGCCAGCACTCTGTGGCCATCTGCCCAGGCTGCAAAGCTCTTTGTTGCTTTTGGCATGTTTAAAAGCTTAATTTCTCTTTTTCTGTTTGGAAATGCAGTTCATCGGCATTGAAGCAGCAGTGGGTGCTAAAATGGTTTCTGATTGCTATCTTGAACGTTTAATATCCTAATACATTTTATCGTCAATGACCTGTCTTGCCACAAGTTCTCATTCCCCTTTTGCAAAGAGAGGCAAGCCGCTTGCCTTCAAATAGGCGTCCCGGCCCAGCTCATTCCTTTGCTCTCTCCCTCCCCGCTTTTCACAGATAGCATTGTACTTTGCCAATGAAGCCCGTAGTCGTGGGAAATCTCTGAGTTGGAGGATATGAGAAATTGTTTCATTTAGCCGGCAGGGTTTAATAGAGATGATCTAATCTCTAAAAGGCATACATTATTTAAATTCCATGCTCTCGGACAAGAGGACCCCTGATATTTGTGGCAGGGACAGGATTTTGGTTTGGCTCTGTTCAGTGGAGCTGACTGTTGGTTTTCCTGTTTGTAATTTAGTGCGGGGCCTGGGTTATGCTTGTGGCAGTGGGAGGGGGTGGGGGTTCCTAGGGGTGAGGGTGCTGGAGAACATTTTCTTTAGACAGAAACCTAAAATCACAGATTCTTGGGGCAGAGAGGATGGGGAGAGTCGCTGCATGGCATCACCAGTTTGCTATTGGGTTCCCATCTGGGTCCCAAGCTCAAGATTCCCAACTCAGGTGAGTGGCCCCTGTGGGGCAAGCTGAGAACTCTCTGCAGGGGCTCCTGGGTGACTCAGTCGGTTAAGCAGCTGACTCTTGATTTCGACTCAGGTCATGATCTCAGGGTCGTGAGGTCGAGCCCTGTGTGGGGCTCCGTGGAACGTGGAGCCTGCTTAGGATTCTCTCTCTCCCTCTTCCTCTATCTCTCCCCTCCCCTGTGCCCATGCATGCTCTCTCTCTCTCAAAAAAAAAAAGTCTCTCTCTTTCTCCCTCCCTCCCTCCCTCTCCCCCTGCCCCTCCACCAAGGAACTCTGCATTCCCTCACTCCCTGCCCTGACAGACTACCTACCTGCAATATCACCAGGGGCCTCACCTGTGAGGCACTGAAAACCTCTGTTGACATAACTAAAATTTTGAGAGAAACCTTAAATATTCTCAACCACTAAAGACCGGGTCTGGAAATAAAGTGGGGCTCATGAATGTCTCAGGGAACCCGGACTGTGAGTGGCATGAAATGCTGGGGGAAGGACCTGGAGAATATCAGTCCCAAGGGAGTTTTTTTTACCTCAGAGGGAGTATGTGGTGATCCTGGGAGAGCCACCTCTTGTTACCCTCCCACTTCATTTGAATGTCACCTTCGTACAGATCACATGCCCACAGGCCTTCCTGGGGATGGGGCCTTGGCGGGGGCATATGACCCCAGAAGAGGCTCTCAGAGTTCCAAAGGTAAAGTCTTTTCCCCTCCCCAAAGGTTTTTTGAGTGTCTCCTGACTAACAGACAGTGAGGTGAGCGCTAGGTACACAAATGTGATTCTCATTGGCTCTGCCTAGCAGACGAGACAGACATATGGACAATGTATTCCAGTGTATTAGGAGCCAGGGTTCAGATATGCGTGTGTACCATAGAAGCACAATCGAAGGGATAATTAATCCTGACTGGGAATATCTGGAACGGCTTCAGAGAGGAGGTGACCTCAACCTTGAATGAGAAGGAGGTGTTCACCAGACTGAACCTTTCTCAGTACTGCTTGCTGAATGAGTGCCTGCTCTTTGCTGGGGATGATGAAAACGATAAGGAGGGGTGGGGGCTCCTGCCCCCAAGAAATTCACAGCTTGCTGGGGAGACAAGCCTGGCATGCATGAGCCAATTAAAGCTCTGCATAGACAGATGGAATTGTGGAGGCGAGGATAGGCCACCGGGGGTACTTGGTGATCCAGGGTTTCCAGAGTTACTACTCTCTCATGGAGCACACAGTTTCTGTAAGGATAATTCATTCAGACCTTGCAAAAACGTCAACTTTTCTGATCAGCCTGGTTCTGTATAGAAGTAGCTAGTTGGATTTGGAGGTGGGCTGGGAGGTGAGGGTGGGTGGAGAAGGTTGATGGTAAGAATTTAGTGGTGTTGGCTCACTCTTTACAACCCTGGTAGGATGTGGGGTTTGCAAAACGTGCCAACACACAACCTGAGGGCGGGCACCCCTCAGTGTCCCACGAGCACCGTGCACATTCCCAGCCTTGGTGTATGGGCATATGCTGTTTCTTCCACCTCAATTGACTCCCCTTTCTCGTCTTCATGAAGTCTTCCCAGACTGCTCTTCTACACTGATTTCCAACTTGCCGGATACTTGATCCGTGATCCTCTGCTGCTCATCATTAAGCTGGGTTCAGCATTGTTCTCTGTTTTTTAATTCCCCCGTGAGATTGTAAACACCTTCCGAGTGTGAATAGTATCGTATGCTTTTCTTTCCTTCCCTGTGAGCAATTTGTGTAGTCTAAGGAACATGGGTTTCTTTAGATAGTCTTATCATTGAATCTTAGCATTGCCACTTACCCTACAGCTTTGAGCTCAGCTTCCTTATTGGGAGAATGGCGTTGGGAGAAACCCGGGGTTTCTCAACGTTGACACTGTTGGCTTTCTGGGGCTGGATAATGCTTCGTTGTGGGGACCATCCTGTCTGCTGTAGGATGCTTAGCAGAATCGCTAGCTTCCACCCATGAGATGCTGGTGGCAGCCCTCCCTTTCCAGTCATGACAATCAAAAACATCTCTAGATAGTTTTGTGTCCCAAAGAGGTTCCCTGTGTCAAGCGTCCCCCATTCCAGGTTTCCTTGCAGTTGGGAACCACTGAGATGACACTATCTTTTGGGTCTGTATCAGACCTCCTCATGCTGCATCCGGAACATTCCATAAACGCCCATCCTCCTGCATTCCTGGCCCCCCCGGCACACTACAGGGGGATGAACTGGACGGAGCCGTGACTCTAGGTGTTAGCCATTTGGGGTGGAAAAGTCGTGGAACTCTTGGGCTGCCCCCACAAGGCACTAACTGAGCCACTGTCATTTTCTTCATTGCAGATTGATCTGGAGCCAGAAGGAAGAGTGTATGTGATCATTGATCTGTCGGGGTCATCGGGTGAAGGTAGGAGAATGTGATCTCTCCTCATTGTTCTCTTCCATTGACCCTTTGTCTTCCCATGTCTCCCTTCCCCCCTTGGCTGGGACATATTACAGCGACATTTAATTAATTGGCACACGTGAAAGGAAAAGGTTATTTTGAAGATGCTTACGCCTGTGTACCAAAAGGGACCAGCCATCTGTTAACTTTGGCGGAGCAGAGGGAAGATTTTTGACTTACCAAGTGAGGCCAGTAAAGCAGGCGTCCCTGCACGCTGGTGCACAAGGCAGGCTTCGGCGGAGCGGCACTCTCACCCCGGAGACTCGCGTGGGGGATGTGTGAGTGTCGTGGGAAGGAAGTAAAACCAGTTGGTCTAACGGTATTCAGAAATGACACAAATAAGCCGTCCAATTTCAGAATCTTATTTTTTAGAGCTTTTATAGTAGTGTTACTTCTTTTTACAGTTCCCCACGCAGGCAAAAACCCTGCTTTTAGGGAGAAATAATGGGGTGAGGGAACGTCTGCTCCCTACTGGCCGATGAGACAGGGTGTAAATGGTGTCTAGTGGTCTTTCCTTCTTTCTTCTCCTTACATCCTCTTCTCTCGATCTCATCTTGGCACACTTACTCCCCTTAAAGGCTTGCCGGGTGGTGAGGACTGAGCAGTCAGAGTGGAAGGGGATTCTGGATGGTAAAACCTTGTCCACACAGAACAGGGAGATGAGATGGTGGCAAACGTGGGCTCTAGGGAGGCTGGGAAGTAGGACGGAGATTTAGTGGGGACCATCTTTCTTCTCCTCTCTCTATGCGCAGGAGGACAGAACAGTTGGCTTTAGTGTCATGGTGGAAAAATGGGAAGACCGAGACTGGTTCCGCTTGGCAATGAGAAAAAAATGGGACTTAGGGGCTGTGGCAGTCTTTAGGGTGAGACAGTCAGCTCCCTTAGCTCCTGGTTGGAAGACTGGGACCTTTTACTGCATCTCTTCAGAATGCTGGAGATCACAAGGACAGAGTCACACCACCACATGGTCTACTCTGCGTTAGGGATGAAGCTCTAGTTTACAGTTCAGTAATGAGAGGAGAGATTATGTCCACAAATTCGAAGGAGTGGGTCAAACCATGTGCTTGACCGGGTGCCCGATGATTTTCATTTGGCTAATTTATTACCCAATCTCAACAGGTGTTCAGAATAATTCAATAATTGCATGTATATGGGGCTTATAATAGAATTCAATTCTCTTTGAATAGATCTCAATTATTTGGCATAGGTTTAAAACTTTAAACATCCTTCCAAAATTGGTCTCGTACATTTTCTTCTCTTTATTGCAATTACGTTTTGGCGTTTCTAGCTTTCCTTCTCTACCCTCAGCTCTGAGCAGCCCAGAATAGAATCTGTTGTAGAAGATTCGGGGATTTAGCAGTATTTAGTATGAAATATTTAAGATGTGCCAAAGGGCCTAAAGAATAATAAAATGAGCACCGCTGTACCCACCACCCTGATTAAGAAATAAAGCAACTATTAAGGTGAAAACTTGCATTGCTTTAACTAGTGTGCAATTCCAGATTCACCAAACTTAGCAGTATTACAGTGGCCTCCTGATTGTAGATATTGGAGAAACATTCAATGAGCAAAATCAGTCCCCCTTTTTCCTTACATAATCTATATGCAACAGGATAATTAATTAAATATGCATTTCCTGTGCCAAGATGCTGGGCAACCAATAGGAAGGTTGGATTATTTTTTTTTCCTTTGAAAAAATTAACTTGCAAAATCCCAGCGGACATCCTTTTTTACATTAGAGAAAAAGGATGTGCACGAATGAATGAATAAATAAATCAGAAGCGATTGATTTTTTTTTCCTCCTTGCTTCTACGGCTTATTGCATGTGAATGGCCAAAGCAATTTTCACTGGGCTGAATTCTTAGTGTTTTGTTTTTTTTATCTCTTTCATCTAAAGAAAATAGAGTTTACTTCAGAAACGCTGAGACACGCCAGACTCTGTAAAGTGCTCGCATGTGTTACTCTGAAGAAAAGGAGAACTTTTTCTGTCCTTTTTCTCTTGCTCTTCCCGGATCCGGGATTCTTTCTCTGGATGATGGGAAAGACTACCCAGCAGTCTCTTCGTAGGATCTGATCTTGTTGCATTGTGTTTGCGTTCAGTACATCTGTTTGCCCTGTCCTGCTGTTCAGACTTTGAGGGCTCCTGATCCAGAGATTTCTGGAAGGGTTGGGAGGGCGAGGAGAGGAGCAGAGGATGAGAGGCCGAGACAGTTTTTACTTAGACTGCACGGGAAGGATCCCGTGCAAAACCCAGTTGTCCCAGCTAGACTGTGGACATTCATAGATTCTTATCTAAGTCCCTTTCTTTAGTGAATATACCTAACTGTATTCTGCAAAAGGGTGCGAAGAGAGTTGGAATGAGTCAGGGCTGACGCGTTCGCTCTATTATTCTGCCATCAGGTATCCCTACGGCTTGCCTATCTCAAATGCTCCAGTCCCATCAATGGGAAAAAAAGACATATATTTATAGAAATCGCACACACTTTACAGCACATGCAAACAGCGAGGAGCCCAGAGAAAGGTGGGTGAGGATCCAATTCCAGGATGGGCCAAAGGTTTCTTTTTCTTGCTCACGCACTGTAGGACGCCTTGGACGTTTGTGTCTGCTAGAGCTGGGGCTAATGTGATTTCTAGCTGTCTAATAAAATTCCACTGCTTGCTTGTCCTGTGCAGCTCAGCATAATGGGATTTGACTGCTGTGTGCTTTAGCTAAACCAGGCAACCTAACCCCAGATGTAAGGGGTCAGGCCCGATGACAGCTAAGGCCGTTTCCAGTCATGCGGTTTGATCTCTGGTCTAATCTGAATAGCGATCAGAGCTTGAGGCTGAGGGCTGGCTAATGTCTGTAACAGGTCGAAGGGGTTGAAAGAAAAGGGCTCTTTTTGACAGGTACTACGTAGCCAGGCACCTTACCTACATTATCGCAAATAGCAAACCTTCCTGGAATACTCGAGAGTGATCCTCCAGTCTTGGGTGCCTTTTATCACAAGCTTTTATCCTAAGTAATAACCACAGGGCTTCCTGGTAAACGGGGCACTACAGGCTCACCAGATACTTAAGTCAGAGCATAATTAGCCCAGGTGACAGACGCATAAACAGCAATGTAATTCTCCAGCGTGTCAGCTACTGTTTCCGGCTGTGCACATTAGTTAGCATTTCTTCCTTTGTTGGGGCGCAATTTGTACATTATTTCTATTCTTTTTAATAACAGGACAATGCACCATTATTTGCAGGCTCCCAGAGGAGGGGCCACCAGGGTCTGACCCAGGGATTTCTAAGGCTGTTCTTTTCCTGCCTTCCATCCAGATCTAGTGTTCACCCAGGGGAGTTTTTCAGAGTCTGAACAACAACAGAGAGAACTAGAAGTGGGTCTCACTGATAATGTTTGGACTGCCAACCTGTGTCTCCAATAAAACGCAGAAGATACAAAAGTAATTTGAAGGATTTTTTGCAACGCAGATCACAACGCAGTTAAATCAGGTTACAGAAGCAGAAGATAAAGAGCAGGGAGCAGGATCCACGCTGTCCCCTTCTTTCTGCAGCCACATGCTGCAGACACACCACACCATTCAGTCTCCTCCCTGCCCCCCCCCCCCCAGCAGTTAGGGCAGGAAGAGCACAGTCCCAGGAGTCCCTCAGCCCTGGCTTTAAATCCTGGTTCTAACGCTTGCTAGTTCAGAGCTTCAGATTTTCTCACCGGTGAAGGGGGATAATCGCATCTCTGGTAGGGACTGTGGTCAGATTGCTTTAAGAACAGTGCCCTTGAATATAGGTGATGCTCAGTAAATATCCTAAGGGCCTGGAGACCTGAGGGCAGGGAGGTGGGCAAAGCTCTGACCTGCTGCACGTGAAGGAAGGGCAGGCAGGGTATTCAGGGAAGGAGTTTGAGGGCAGGTTTCTGACTCTGGGGCATATTAAAAAGGTAGAAGAACAGAGCAAGGTGACAGAGCGGCAATTTATAGAATAATATCTGTATCTGGCCAGGGCTATGAGATTGCTTTCTGCAGAGCTCACACCTTGCCATAGTTTTGCCCCATTTTCTGTCTTTCTCTTTCTTCCCCACCCTTCCTCCAATGAACTCTTTCCTAGAAGGACATTCTCTATCTTGTTTGTATCCTGTGGCCCTTAATGCCAGAAACTTCTCTTTGTGGGAGCCTGGGTGTGCTCTCTGTGCTCGGTGCAGATTGAGAACATGTGGGCCCCACGCTCTCACTGGCCCTTGGCTAAAAGCCCTTCATATATTTGAAGACAGTTACTAGATCTCTCCTCTTCAGGTTTGAATCATTCAAATCCCTTATAATTTCTGAAGGGGTGGTTTAGAAATTTAAACTCACCTTTGCAGCTCTTTTCTGGACTTTCGTTCAAGTTGCACAGGCAGGCAGACAGACAAGATCACACCTGCTTGGGTTTGCTCTGAAATGGCAACATGGGTAGACCAAGTGCCCGATGGTATTACCGGCGTGCAGGAGATCGTCACGTTGAGGGGTCAAGCGACGTGCCCGAGGTCAAAATGTTGATTACCTACCTTTTGATCGTACCCTGTTGGACCTAGACCCCCAGCTACGATCCAGTGCCCTGCTCTAAATCATGGCCTCAATAGTGAGTTTGCCAACATGGCAAAGACCTTCCCACCTCTCTGTTTATTTTAGTTCTTTTCTTCAGACAGCTTGCTTTTTTCTTTTTTTTTTAACAGTGATGTGGAGCTAGAGTTCTTAGCTTTGAATCCAAAAGTGACCCAGAAGTCCCTTTCATAAACAAGCAGATTTCTTTTCCGTTGTCTTAGAAATGAGACTCCCTGGGTCCCATTTCAGGAGCCATCGGCTCCTTCTCAGGCTCTCTGTCAGGCAGGTCCCTAACTAAGTCTTGGTCTGCAACTAGACCAGATTCAAATCCCAGCAGGTTAGTAATCTTTCTTCCCTGAGTCCATGGCAAGCATTGGAGTGCTGCGCTCAGTGTTGAAATAG